AGCCTCGGTGTCCAACAACAGATGAATGGATAAAGAAATGTGGTATACATACACAATGGAATACTATTCAGCCATAAAAAAGAATGAAATCTTGTCATTTGCGGCAACATGATGGAACTAGAGGACATTATGTTAAGTGAAATAAGCCAGACAGAGAAAATTAAAAACCACATGTTTTCACTCATGTAGAAACTAAAAAAAGCTTGATCTCATAGAAGTAAAAATTAGAACAGATGATACTAGAGGCTGGGAAGGTAGGGATAAGGAGAGATTTATTAAAGGATACAAAATTACGGCTAGATAGGAGGAATAAGTTCTAGTGTTCTATACCACTGTATTGGATGACTGTAGTTATTAATATATAGTTTCAAATAGCTAAAGGAGGATATTGAATGTTCCCAACATAAAGAAATGATAAATGTTTGCGATGGCAGATACGCTAATTACCTTGATTTGATTACTCGACAGTATAAGTATCAAAATATCACTATGTATTCCATAAGTATGTGCAATTACTATGTGTCAATCACAAAAAATACGATTGTAAAAAAAAAGAATTGTTTACAAGTATACAGTTAGTTATACACAGGTGAATTTTCAGGATGCATGTATATCCTTTGCTAGTCATAAGTTGCTGTGTTCAAGTTACTAAGGCAAAAGTTTTATTGGTAACAGAGGGAAACTTAGAAATAACAGGACCCAACCTCATCTATCCAGTACACTTGCTGGTTTCTAATCTCAAAATCTAATATTCTGCATTTACTTGATAAATCTTAAAATGCAGCCAATCTGACCTAACTTAATATCATTTATCCTATAGATAGCACCCTTCACACACACACACACACACACACACACACACACACACACACACACAATTACTGTCAAATAAATATTTGGTTGAATGAAATAGGCCATGGGATGCTTTAAGAAGCTTATGTTCTCTGCAGCAAAGGCCTCTGCATTGTGATGTGTGTCGATGTGTCTGTCCTGCCTGGAAGCAAATGGGAAAAGGTGGGAAAGAGCAGGTAGATGGCTCAAGAGGTAGGTTGAGCAGCTGCAGAATAGTTTGTCATTAGTGTCCTCCCCACAGGGAAAGCAACTGATCTAAGATGGGAGCCGGGAGCCCTCCAGCAATTGGGGTTTTCACAACACCCCTCCTTCACTAGCCTTTCAACAGTCCCTCCTAAGATGAGAGCTGGGGCAGGAGTGAACAGACCAGGTTCAAGATTTAGAAGACCTCCCTCCAAAAAAGTGCCTCCCGGTGCTGACTTTAGAACAGTGTTCCTCCCTGGGTGGGGCGAGCGGGAGGGCAGAAGGACTCGGGAGGGCGGTGAGCCACGGCGGCCCAGGCCTTGGCCTTCCCCCTTCGAGGCCACAGGTTTGGGCTTTTCTTTGCGAAGACCACGACTCCCTTACCAGCCTCTTGACTGGCTCCACGTGTCCACTACAATTAATCTTTTTGAAATGCTGCATTGTTGTGGCATTTTTCTGCTCAGACTTTTTCAATGGCTCTCCTCCTTTTGAAGGATAAAATCCAGCAATTAGCCTGACTTTCAATGGCCTCTGTGACCTCGCTTTGTAGCCTTATTTCTTCTGGTCCTAAGACTTGACTCGGCTGCCACGGTCATAGTCCCCACCCACCGTGCTGTGGCAGTGCCACTTCCCCACGCCGGGATGCGCCCTCTGCAGCTGGCACAGTGTAACCTCTAAGGCCTTGCTCCATCAAATACTCCCTTCTCCATAATGCTTCCTCCAACCAGCTCACCCTAAGGGCTCTCTTCTTCACGCGACAGGTATCGTTTAATGATGGCGTATCGTCTGCTTTCACACATTTACCTTATTTGCTTGATTAAATTATAAGCCCACAAAATCTGGGGCCTCTATCTCTTTGCACCACCACTCCCTGCCCCATACCTTGTACATAGCTTTTATTTATTTTTTCAACAAAGTACCTACTAGGTGCCAGGCCCTCTGCTTTCACTGTAGGGATACTACAGTAAAAAGACTGAGAGATGGTCTCCATGGACTCGAGTATTTGTTGATGAGAAAGATATGGAAATTTATGACCGAGATGCATCCTATTTCAAACTATTCAGCCACGTCCTTCCAGAGTTCAGCACAATTCTGACAAGCAGTCAGGACTAAGTGGCTATTAAGTCCCAGGTCACATTGGCACAATTGTTCTAACCCAGAAAGGTGCCCATAAGGTGTTACAGTTTTAATGGAGGGCTCAGAACCAACTTGAATCAAAACATATGGGATAAAATATGATAAAGGCTCTAGAGAGACAAGTGGAACCTCTCTGTAGCCTAAAATCACTACAGGATCAAGAGACAGAATCTTTTTGTTGGATTGCATTTGGATGAGTGGGACCAGATTGCAGTTTTCGGATGAGCCGAGAGCATTGACCAGCATCAGAAGGCTCTGTGTCAGGCCAGGGGTGCAGTTCTGGTGGTCCCTGCCCACCTCCCGCCCTCCCCTTTCCCGGACGATCACTGGTTTGCACTTGCAAAAGGGATGGGGTTAGGATCAACCTGTAGCCCCTGAATGGAGTTTGAATTGCTGAATTTTTTTTTTTGAGACGTCTTGTTCTGTTGCTGGGGCTAGAGTGCCGTGGCATCAGCCTAGGTCACAGCGACCTCAAACTCCTAGGCTCAAGCGATCCTCCTGCCTCAGCCTCCCAAGTAGTTGGGACTACAGGCATGCACCACTATGCCCGGCTAATTTTTTCTATGTATTTCTAGTTGTCCAGCTAATTTCTTTCTATTTTTAGTAGAGACAGGGTCTCACTCTTCCTCAGGCTGGTCTCGAACTCCTGACCTTGAGCGATCCACCTGCCTCGGCCTCCCAGAGTGCTAGGATTACAGCTGTGAGCCACCATGCCCGACAATTTCTTTGTTTCTTAAAACTCTGCTTTATGTCAGTGCTACTGCACTATAGCTAGATCCAAATATAACTTTCACCTGCATTCTTCGGTTTTTGGATGACAGAAGCTTTCTTTCTTCATTTTATTACTGGGATTATCATCAAGGAAAGATGACATTCTGGACCTACTCCTACTCCAAAGTTTATGCCTTTAACATCCTAAAGCATCCTAGGTCCTATTACATTTAGCTTGGAAGATAAGGCCACAATATAGACTAATAACAGAATAATCTGGTTTCTAAAGCTTATCAGGTGATAATGTCTGCATTTTGCATGTAAGATTGCATGGGACAGGTACTTACAGGGCAGTCAGCAGCTCTTTCCAGACCAAGTGCCTAGCACGGTGTTTGGCACAATATATGTACTCAAGTTTGGCACAATGTTTGTGCTCAATAAAGTGTGAGTTTTGGGGTACTCCTAGAAGAAGGCACAGGCATAAGGTGAGGAGGTGCTTGGTTGGAGAATAAACCCCTTCCTGGATTCTTCTTTCTTCTCTGCATTCAGCAGAAAGCCAGCTGGCTTTACAAATCGCCTGTCTCTGCAAACAAAGCAACTGAGGCCTGAATTTTGAACTCAGTTACTTAGAAGCCTCTGCAAGTTCCAGAATATGGAAATTATCTGTTCATTTCAGTTTTATGGTCACGGTGAATTTATATGATGGGAAGGGGTGTTAGTAGGCTGTGTAGGGATCTCACTTGTGAGGCAATGATGAGTGATTCTATGGCCTTGGGCAAATCACTTCTTTTCTGATTTTCATGTAAAATCAAAATAAATGTAAAAAAGGGAGTTCAAAGAGATTCTGATGATCTTGGATCTCTTCCTGCCCTAGGAATCTCCAATTCTATGATAGTCTTTGACCCTGATTTCCTTTAAATTATCCTTTGAAGCCTTTTATTTTTTTTTATTTTGAGACAGAGTCTCTCTCTGTTGCCTAGGCTAGAGTGCCGTGGCGTCAGCCTAGCTCACAGCAACCTCAAACTCCAGGGCTCAAGCGATCCTTCTGCCTCAGCCTCCCAAGTAGCTGGGACTACAGGCATGCGCCACCATGCCCGGCTAATTTTTTCTATATATTTTTAGTTGTCCGGCTAATTTCTTTCTATTTTTAGTAGAGACAGGGGTCTCGCTCTTGCTCAGGCTGGTCTCGAACTCCTGACCTCAAGCGATCCACCTGCCTTGGCCTCCCAGAGTGCTAGGATTACAGGCATGAACCACCGCGCCTGGCCCTTCGAAGCCCTTTAAAGGCAAGGGTTGGTCTTCTTGAAGCCTGCATTACCATTAACTGGGTGCACAATCTAGGGAAATGCCTAGATCCTATCATTTTAGTCCCAAAATCTTTAATCGCTAAATTCCATCATCTGTAAATCAGGGCTTAACAGTCTCTCAGACCTTTTCCAACTATAACGTTCTACAATTCTGAATGGGGGTTCCTGGCAGCCATCTTCCCTTCACCCTAATGTTCTTCTGGAGGAGGAACAATGACAAAACCCACTGGCCAGTCTGGAGTATTTCCTAGTAGCACTGGGTTGTCTTAATCATCCCCTTAAATAAGTAAGTATTCTTCCAAAGGCTTGGCAATCTGCTATACCCGGGAGTGGCACTAAGATTTAATCTGTTGAGAAGACATTTGGACTGAGGGCATGAACATTTTTGGATTATTGCAGACCATCAGAATGTCAGTCCAAGGTCAGTTCAGAGCAAAGTTCAGAATGCAGGCTTTGGTTAGAAATGGGATTGGCTACTGGCATAGGCAGAGCCTCACCAAATACACTGTGAACCTCTATTCTTAAAGGCGTAGCCTGAAGAACAGCTTTGACGAGTTGTTTTCTAGCTCCAATTGTCAAAACCAGTCTGTATTTGGTGAAGTTCATTTGAATTCTCTATTAAAAAAAAAAAAATCCCAAACCTAACCTGGACAGCTGCCTCACAGGGTTGAATCTCTGGATACAACCAATTCACCCATTTTACAAGACCATGATGTTGAAACCTGACCCCTTAATTTAAGTGTCCTCCTCAGGAGTTCCATTGAGGAAAGTCCTTTTTTGGAAACCACAGAAGGAAAACTCAGGATTAGTGGTACTCATTAAGCTCGAAGGAGCTTTTCCACTTGGCAGCATTGTTTATTTACATACAGTAAGTTTCTATCTTGGACACCCTTCCCTGAATTATGAGAAGAGGTGTTTCTACTGTATCATCCGGCAGGATGTATTGTTGACCCTAAAAATGCCACGTAGTGGTGCTTGGGACATGGGGAGATGCATCAGAGTTTTCAGCATAAGCACTTGGTATTTTTTTTTCTTTTGCAAACAAGACACCCATATTACTATGATTTGCAAAAAACAGTAAGGACACTGAGAAATCTCATTCCCAGGGTAGAAACCATCTCCTGCGAGAAGGAGCTGGCACGGAGTGTCTAACTGTTCAAACAAAACTGGCTTCCAGGTTGACAAGTTGTAACTGCTCTTCCCCGGTCGGCTCCCGGGAGCTTTTTCTAAGACTGACGCCCCCCGTGTTTGGTGCATTTTACATACCACCTACCAAACTTCTATGACCTGTCTGCTGGGGGGTGGCGCGGTGATGAAAAGACTACAACCCAGAAGGAAATAACCCATTTCCTCTTGCAAACCATCCTCCCTCGCTACAGAACAGCTCGGCTACACCAGCGCGTTCCTGCGGCTGGCAGCCCCGGGAACCTTGGAAGTTGCGCGGGACCAGCCGTCAGCTGCTGACAGTTCTGACCGTCAAGGTGTAGGACCCGCGCTCGGCAGGAAAATCCCTGCCTTTCCCAGGGGGGCAAGCGGCGGCCGCCCCGGGGGTAGTGGTGGTGTGTCTGGAGGGGGAGGCAGACAGGGAACCTCACTTTCCCTCGCGCTGCCTCAGTGGCCGCCCTGCGTGCGCGCGCCAGCCTGGGGAAGGAAGGTACCTCTTGACATTTCGCTCTTGCGACGCGCAGGCAACTTCATGCGGAAAATCCACCGAGGGGCTGAGCCCCTCGCCCCGGACTCGCTCCACGACCTGGAACCCCTAACCCGGGACGGGGGGCACTCAAAGACCAGGCATGCCTCTAGGTATTTTCCGGGATCCAGCTGTACCAGGGTCACGGACATTCAACTCTCAGCTGCCCACACCAGCGAGAGCGCGTCATCCTGGGGGCCTGAGCATTCCTAACTGTCAGAGAATATTTTTCGGAATAACCTCTCCAAAATGTTAAGATGTTAAGTGGTCTCCTCCGCCTCCCATGCCCAAAAAGGCCCCAATACATATTTTTAAAAAGCAACCCACACCCCACAATCAAACTTTTAAACATGTAAAATAATAAAACCAACTCACCAAGTTAGAAGGGAAGAGAATAAACCCCAAAAGGCTCCCAATAAGGCGGAGGCTTGGCCTCCCCCTCCTTATAAGCCGCTCGGTAACATGAGAAAAGGTTTAACCCCTTAAGGGGCGGGCCCGAGTGCAGCACAAGTTGGCTCGGGCGGGTGAGGCCGGTGCTCCCGGGCCCTCCACCCACTCCCGCGCCTCGGACACCCGAGCCACACCCTCCCCCCTCCCCCACCCCGGCTGCCTGTGCTTGGGGCCGTGCGTGCTGCCGCCCGCGCCCCGGCCCCGCGTCGCTGCCTAGCGCTTATCCTATACCGGCTGCAGCCGGTCTCCGCCGGCCTCGGGGGCGCGCCGCCGCCGACCATGTGCTGCGAGCGCCGAGCGCCGCCAAGGAGGGGGCCGGCCTGGCGCGCGCGCGCCGGCCCACGTGGACCGCGGCCGCGCCGGGCACGCGCCCGCCTGCCCGCCCGCAGCCCGGGCTGGGGGTCAGGGAAGGTAACGGTGTCGCCATCCCCGGCCGGGCCGCCCCCGCCAGCGCCACCGGGGTCCTTGGCACGACATCCCCATGCCCCCAGCCGGGCGCGCCTGGCACGATCAGACCCCGGCGCTTTGCTGCAATGCAAGTGGGAGTGCGAGCGTGCAGGGGTGTCCGGGCCGCCTGCACCCTGTCTCCGAGCACCCCCGGGCCGCCTCCCCGCAGCCCCCCGGCGCACCCACTGGCCAGCCCTGCCCGCGGCCTGAGGACTTGGGGATTTAGCGAGGAGGGGGGATGCGCGCGCCGGGGGGCTGGTTCCGCGCGGCGCTCGCGGCAGCGGCTCCGCGCCCGCCCCGGGCAGAACAGGTTCCTTCCAGTTTGGGTGTGAGCGGCGCGCGCGGCGCCCGAGTTCCTCCTGCAGCGCCCACTTCCCTCAATTTCGTCAACTCGAGCACCCCCACGGTTCCCCTTCCGGGAGTGGGGAGGGAGTGCCGCAGTGGGCCCCGGGGAGCTAGCGGCCCGGCTGCTCCGGGTGCCTCGTTTCCCCTCCTTTGCTGCAGCAGCAGCATCCGCGTTGCGCGGAAGGAATGTGAGCAGCGGGGCTGAGTCAGCATCCCCGGCCGGAGGCGCGCGCGCCCTGCCCGGCGGGAGGCGACGTCGGCACAGGTGCACTGCTGCCTTGCCGGCGGGGAGCCTCCGTAAGAGGCCTAGAGGTTTAGGGACTCGGTGCCCCTCATCCCGGAGTCCCCGACCCCCAAGGTCACTGCGAACTAAGTGGGTGATGCACGGGAAACCTGTTATGAGCTCCTCATGGGGACAAAGCGCGTGCCGGATCCCAGACGTTTCAGAGCCCGCGGGGGCGCAAACTTGGCTTCATGGTCGCCACTTCGCACACCCAGGGCAAATTTGGGAACTCCTGGGAAACAGAAGCCATATTATTCGCATTCCTTTACGGACTTGGGTTCCCTCCGGCTGCTCCCTTCATTGGGGTTCTGAGACTGTGGTTCTGATGTCAGAAACTCAAGAGAGCCTAGTTTAGGAGTGCGTGCACGGAGGGTCGCCACCGGGAGGAGTTGGCGATCTGAATTTTAATAAAAATCCTTCCCCGCTCGCTGGTTTCTCTCACCAATTTTGGGACAGGGTCTGCTGGGTTAAATGCCATCCTTTGCTGTTAACTAGCTCTGGTTGGGTTAAGTGGGGAGCAGGTTCGTTGGTGCAATGAACATGTGATCTAATTTTAACCCCACCAGCAACCTTTTGCTTGTGACATTCATTACCCCCATTTTACAGATGAGGAAAGTCGAGGCACTGGGCACTGGAGGGATTTGCCCAAGTTTACACCGCATTTACAGATATGCACCGGTCCTTTTTGCAACTAGAGCTCAGCTCATCCTTAGTTGACATTGGCCATCTGTGTTTGAAAAGTGGAGAGGCGGTGGAAACCCAGCCTCAGCCCAGCCTTGTTAGCCACAAACCGATGACTTTTGTCCATTCTGGTTAAGGGCTGGCTTCACCTTGTTCCCTCAATCTTAGTGAGACCAAGCGTGAAAACCCCTGCTTTTTTAACTTCTCCACGGAAAGCACTGCATTACCATGCTAAGCAAACCCCCCCAAACAAAACTAACTCTGTTTACTTCTAAATCAGAACAAAAGAACCTTTGGAGTCTGGAGAACAGGACCAAAAAAATCAGGAAATTAAGTTAAGGGCTCAGCTTCCTTCTTAGCCTCTCCCGTTGTGTCTGTCATAACCCAAGGGGCAGGCAGAGCCCCCTCCAGCCCTTCCTTTATAGTGGCCAAAGCTATAATGATGCCCTTAGAAAGTCCCCCCAATATCTTCTTGGGAAAAAAATTGGCTCTTCCAAGCTGTCCCCAGGTCTCTCTCTTCTAGCCCTCTAGCTTAGGGTCATTTGCATGAGAACGGATTCCTTTGTGCAAAGTTGGCCTGCCTGTTCTCTGTCCACGCTTACACTCCTTGAAGTCTTCGTGTTGGGTTGCTAGGCAGATATGACCCTGGCTTGCAAATAAGCTCACTGCATTTACTAGCCTGTGAGAACTTCAACTTGGGTAAGTAGATTGAAAGGAATCTCAGAGGGGAGGGTCCTGCAAGCCTGCTTTTGGGGGCTGGGTCTTCAGAGCAACCACCACAGAGGGGGAGTAGATGTGGGGGCTTTTAGGAGAGGCCTCCATCTCCCACCCACACTTGCACCCTTCCTCTTCCTGTCTCTGTTGCACCTACCCGGCTCCCGCCTAATGGCCCCGTGTTCAGGTGAGCGGCTTGTATTCCAGTGAAGCAAATTCTTGCTTTGAAACCTTAATATCTGCTTCTCCAGCAGGCAGAGAACGTCACAGACTGTGCCATCCACTGAGGAACCTCTTTGGTGAACTGGTGATCCAGGTGGTTGTGCTGGGTTTATCTTGTGGCTTGGAGCCCTCCCCTGCAGACCCCCACCTCCCCCTGCCCTTCGACCGTTTGTAGGGAGGCAGGGCCCCTCAGTCCGGGGAATGCATGCTCCTAGGGGAATTTAAGGATTTGCCAAGCGGTTCTGACGCACAGATAGTGATGATGATGATAATACTACCATCAGGTTGTGTGGGAGGCTTAGTGCTGGCTCAGGGTCAAGTTCCGTAACTCTTGGCGGTGACTCTTTCAACCTGTGACTTGGGGGATTGAGCAGGTGGAGATTGAGGAAGCCTAGAACAGGCAAGGAGGACCTGGGAAGGACTGGCAAGGGCTGTCGAGCCAAGGGAGGGAGGAACATCATCGGAGAAGGGCAGGAGGTAGGTGAGGGCATGCTGTATTTGGGGACAGCGAAGTCACCTTCCCACCTGTGCCTGTGGGGGCCTGTGGTGATCTGACTTCTCTCATGCGTGGGTGCCATTCGGTGCAGTATGGATGTATTCCCGGAAGTGTCTTATTAACTCCGGAGTAACTTTTACTTGATTTCGACACTGAATTCCGTTCTCAGACTTCTTAGTCTTCATAGTTGACTGCTCCTGTAGTTTGGCCATCCTCTCACTGCTTAACAATTTAAAACAACAATGACAACAACAAAAAATAGAGAGCCTGGCCTTAGGGAGTCCTCTATCAAGCATCTTGATTCTGTTGACAAAAGTTCTAAAAAACAAACCCAAATTCTGAAAACAAAATCATTTTAATCACAGTGGATTTAGGAGTAAATACACATCATATTAAGCTTTACAACGTGATCGTGGGTCATGAAATCTAATGGGAATGTTGGAAGGGACTGTGTATGGGACCTCTGAGTTTTGCCCCAATTAAATCAGGCTTTTTTTTAGACAGTTCAGAGTTGAAGTTGCTCCACCTGCCATGTTCCTCAAGGCCCCAGGAATAAAAACCTGCTCTCCTGCTACGTTTCTTGCCTGGAGGGAGATGCTGCCTTTCCCTGTCTTGTCTAAACATGCACTGCCCGTCCTTGCTTCTGGGTTCCCTGGAACAATGCGCAATAGTAAGCTTCCATTTTAACCCTTTAGGACCAGTGCGTCTGTGCATTTCGAAATGGCAAAGAAGCCAGAAGGATGCTCCAGGATTGGGTTGTGGACAAGAGGCAAGGAGGGGCCCCACACTGCTGTGGTAGTGAAGGGCTCTGGTTTCTTTAGGTGAGTTCGCCAGACATACCTGCAGGACTGGGTCCCGGAAGCCTCCATCCTGCCCTCCCACACCCGTCGTTCATCTATCCGAGTGGCCTCTGTTCATCCACAGCCCACTCGTGAGCATCGATGAATGCAGTCATCTCCCAGGCCACAAAACCACACCCCAGAGGATGTGGTTCCTTCTCTCAAAGTGTTTACCTTCTAGTTCAGAAGACAAGACACACGTGTGATTGTTACCTAAAGCAGCATTTCAACAAGTGCAATTTTACGAGTGAGAATGACAAGTGAGTGTTTCTAAGGAGAATTTTGGAAGGTCGCTTGAGGTTGGGGAAATGATGCGACGAAGCTGGGCTTCCAGAGCAGGGCGGAGCAGGCTGGGCCACTGAGGTTCATGGAATACGCACTGATTCAGCTAATACTGCCTGAACACCTTCGCGGCAAGGTACCAGAATTACGCAGTGCTTAAACTGTGCAGACTGTCCCTGCCTTTGTGGAGTTTCCATCCTAGATTTATGGATCTTTCTTGCTAGGGCACTTAGCTAGCCAAGTGTCATGGACAAATAGTTCTTTCGAATGTTTCTGATGTTGAAATGTAATTCCCATTTTCAGTTAGCATCAACAAAGGGGAGATTCCTCTCACACCCACCCCACATCTTGACCTCATTGTTATATTGTCCAAAACCAGATTTGCTGGAAGGCAGCGTACTCCAAGGATGCCAGCTGTCACCAGAGTCTGCCCAGCTAAAGGGACATGGCTCAGGTTTAGCAAGGATGGCACAGGCAGCCATGGCATTGTGTGACAAGAAACCATAGTTTGGAACTTCAAAAATTCGAACCAGAATGACTTCATTTTCCCTTTGGCATTGTTTGTGACTGTAGTGTTTGTAAGCTTCTATCTTCTCTGGGTTCAGAACCCAGCATCGGAACATGCTGATAAACACTTCTGGCAGACTTAGCCAATAGCTGCAGGGAGCCTGGATTTCAACATCTGTACTTGGAAAAGTTTTATTTAATATTAATTTTAGCAATGCATTGGGTTTGCATAGCATGTTTTCAAAGTGTTCTCATATTTGTTATCTCTTTATCTTCAAAACAATCAAAAGATGGGACTGGGCTCATCCTATAATCCCAGCACTTTGGGAGGCCAAGGTGGGAGGATTGCTTGAGGCCAGGAGTTCAAGACCAGCCTGAACGACATAGCGAGACCCCATCTCTACAAAAAATAGGAAAATTAGCTGGACATGGCAGAGCGCATCTATAGTCCCAGCTACTTGGGAGGCTGAAGCAGGAGGATCACCTGAGCCCAGGAGTTTGAGGTTGCAGCGAGCTATGATGATGCCACTGCACTCTAGTCCTGGCAGCTGATCGAGACCCTGTTGTGGGTTATGATATCTAATTGGAAATGTTG